GCCCCGCCCACCACGGCTCTCCCGCTCCTCTCCCCGTCTTAGCCAACCCTCTACCCTCTCCCTTTCCATTTCCCCCTCTCTTCTCTCAGCACGTTTCTTGCCACCTCTCTCTGGCACCCCCTTGTTCTTGGGGGTTCTACCCGGCAGGAGGCGATGTCTGCGCGAGTGACTCCCGCCCACGTGGCCTGAGGGCCTGCGTGTGGAAGCCGAAATCAGTTTTTCCGAGGACAGGGACAGAGGCTGTTGGGTGCGGGGAGTCGGGGTGGGCCGGGTTGCGGCGCTTTGGGGGTCGCAGGGCTCAGGGGCGGCGAACCGCGGTGGGTGGCGTGCGCTAAGCGCTCTGCTCCTAGCAAAGGCAGCAGGCCCACGCGTCCTCCCTGCGCAGCCCTCTCGAAGGAGCTTGCTGCTGCTCTCCCCAGAAGTTGCGCTGAGCCGGGGGAGCACCGAGAGGCCGCGCTCCTCCCTCTCTCCTCCGACTCGCACTGTGCGGTGTGCGCCCACCGTCAGGTCCCTGTGCACAGCCATCACCATCCGGCTTTAGACCCCCAACGCGTTCCTTAAGCTCCCAAGATAAATCCCCTCGGAAACATTAATCACAACGGCCAGCCAGTGCAAAATGTGTGCCCGTGCAGTGTCTGGCTTTTAATCCCGGACGTAATTCTGGAGAGCAGCATCAGACAAGGGCTCTATTAATCCCTGACACGAGCCCAGACGATCGCTAACCTACTAGATTTGTTTCCCTGCAGTTTCACGAAGTGTCAGCCTCGGGTAGAGGGACCTGCAAGGACAGAAAAGAAACAGGAGACCCTGGGCACCTTCGCAGAGCAATGGGCACTTCAATGAAAAGGCGCCTCTAGACTGGGGAGCGAGGATCCCAAGTCTGAGCTCACCCTAGCAAACTTAGGGACTTAGTGAGACCCTGTCTCAAAATGTAAAAAGGTAACTGAGCCAGTATTCGCGACACTCACCTCCCCAAAGCGCACCTGACCGATACGGAGGGACTCACTGGCCAGGGTCCACAACTTCGACATGGGCGGCGGCAGTTCCGTGGGCATGGGCACAGAGGTAACGGGCACTGAGTGAGGTTAGGGGCTGGAGCTGAAACCCCGTCCTCTCCCTTCCGAAGGCTTCAGACCCACGTGACCTCTGATAGGGACTGTGCACAGGCACCTGCGGAGAAGCTATCCAGCAACGCGGGCCAGCCAAAACCGGGCCCCCTGGGACCTGTTTCTCGCACTTGAGATTTCACTATCATGTCGTCCAATTAATCATATTTCGCTTCTCCCATTTTATTCAAAACCGTCTTCTACTTCCCTCATAATCGTAATTTGCGCCATTGCCTTTTATCCTTGATTAATTGGGAAGCTGAAATGATAATGGAGGGCCGAGCCAATAAATTAGCTTTGTGAACAGACGGACCTACGTCTGGGGATGCAACGTGGGTGGGCAGTGCCCCAAGGCGCGGGGGGGGGGCAATGAAGCTCACCCTAACACCAAGTAGTGCCAACACTAACCCTAACCCCAACCTCAACCCAACCCTAACCCAAGGCCTCTCCCTGGGGTGTTTGCTGGAGTCTTGGTTTGAAGCTAGAAATGGAGACGGGTGTGGGGTGGTGGTGGGGCCTGTTCAAGGAGAGGGAGGGCCCCCTGTTTTCTCTCCAAGAGGCCTCGCCCATCCAGCGGGTGGTTGGGTATAAAAGTCTGGGCCTTTGTAGGGTTTGGGTCTGTTTCTTCTGGACGTAGGTGCTAGATGTACTGTTTCCCCTCCTCTCCCTCCGCGCTCGGCCGAAAGGAGCGAGGAAGGGAGGAGAAGCAGAAGGGAGAGAGAGAGGGAGACTCCGAGATCTCATCAGTAACCCCTGGCCCAAGTGGAAGCTCCCAGCGCCCAGTCGCTCCCACCCTCGCAGCGGCGGCGCCGGGAGGTTGGGGCTCCTCTTCTCTCCCTCCGTGAAATCGATCACGCCTCCAGACGGCTGAAGGAGATCACTTTGCCACTCTTCACAGTTTCGCTCCAGCCTCTTTAGCTTTCAATTGAAAACCAATTAAAGGTTTCTATAAATCTGTTAGCGCCCCTTTTATCTGGGGACCCCTGATGCATGCGATATTGCCCTTTAGATGCCTCTTCCGTGTTTTGTTTTACAATTGTTGTATCAATATAATGCAGCCTTTCTTCTCCTGTCTCTATAGATACAGATACACAAGGAAAACTAAAGCCATTCAGGCTCCTCATTTGTCCGGCAGCTAACAGTGGGGCCCTTTCTCTGGGCTGCTTCCCTGCCTCGGCAGCAGCAGTTATGGTAGAAGCAGATGGCTACTGATTGGGGGAGCTTTGTGGCTCTAATACTGAATACTTTATGGAAAAGGACTTTATCATGCTTCGTTGGGCAGAGGAACAACGGGATGAGATTTACGGCCAGGAAAAATAAATCTTTTTCCAAGTTGTGGCCCTTTCTCACCAGTGTCTCCTTTGCCCCTGGGGTCAAACACTAAGGAACTGGGTTTTATTTTATTTTATTTGCCTTTCTGTGAACACCAGTTTTTACTGGGGATCTACGGACAGAGCAGGCTAAGAGCTCAAAATTTATGAAATAACCCAGGCAGTCGTCTCTGCCTGCAGTGGGCAAAAAGCAGAAGGATCTGGTCTGGAATACTGTTGGGGGCCGTATTTCCCTAGGTGTCTCGTTAGTTAGTGGTCAGACGTCATCACCATTATGCTGTTGTCCTGAAGGAGAAGATGAATGCTGAGCCCTCCCATTGGAAGAGCCAGAGGGGCTCTGGGGCTGAAGGAGAGGGGAAGGATGAGGCATACAGTCCCACAGGCATGTGTCCTCTCCAAGGGGCTGAGCTGAGGACTTCTCTACGGGATAACTGAGAATAACCCTCTGGACTCCAAATTGAATTTCCAATTTTTGGAGAATATACAAAGTCCAATCCTCTCCTGGAGGCCTAATCTGCCCCCCCCCATGCGTCCCCATAGTGTCTGCTCACCTGAGTTGTCCTCTCTGCCTTAGGCAGCTCTGTGTCTGCCCTGTGGGTGAGTCTGTTCTCCCTGGCCCCTTCTTCTGCCCTCAGAACCTGTCTCCCTTGAGCAGTACAGGCCCTCCCTCCCCCATGCCTTCACCACAGGCGGGGC